CTTTATTGTATTTTGTCTTTTCTGTCTTTTGTTTCACTTTTTATTTTGAAAGGTCTTCACCTCCTGTCTTGCCTGTTTCCGTCTGCGTTGTGTCTTGTCTAGATCTGTCTTTGGTTTTCTGTCTGCGTTGTGTTTTGTCTTGTTTAGATCTGTCTGTGGTTCCCTGTCGTTAGTTTCCCTGGTGTGTCTAATTTACCCGATTGTGTTCACCTGGTGTCCCTGTGTTTTCTCCTCCCTCCTCACCTGTGTCTTGTTTGTATGATTAGTCTTGTGTGTATTTAAGTTCTGGTTTTTCTGTCTGTCTTTGTCGGTTCGTCTTGTGATATGGCTTGTTCCTCGGTGAGTGTTCTGGTTAGTCTTTATTTAATAGTATAGCGTTGAAATAAAGGAGTTTTTTGTCACTTTAATCTGCATTTGGTTCCTGCTTCCTACACACACCGTAACAGAACGAACCGACCAATAAATGGAACCAGCAGATGATCCATTTGAGATGGAATTACAACATTTTTCCTTTTATTTGGCTTGCTGCTATGATTGGTGGAAGGGAGCGTCCAGTGTTCTGCAGAAGGAGGCTGCTCTGGTAGAGGCGCACCGGTTGGCTATGGAGAAACCAGGCTTGGTGAAATTCTTACCTGGCAGGATTTTGTACTTCCTCTGGGTGTGTGATTTCCAGCCTGCTGACTACAAACGTCTCGGTGTGTTCCGTCCGGAGTCAACCCCTGCTTCTTCTCCATGTCCTGCTCCTGTCCAGGAGCCGTTCTCGGGAACTCGTCTGGCTTTCGGAGGTCCACGGAGCCTCCAAAAGGCTCCTAAGAGAAGGAGCCACAAGTCCAGGCTAGCAGCCTGAGCCACGGTTCCGGCCTCAGTCCTGGCCCCAGCAGCCACGGTTCCGGCCTCAGTCCTGGCCCCAGCAGCCACGGTTCCGGCCTCAGTCCTGGCCCCAGCAGCCACGGTTCCAGCCTCAGTACTGGCCCCAGCAGCCAGGGTTCCGGCCCCAGTTCTGGCCCCAGCAGCCATGGTTCCGGCCCCGGTTCCGGCCCCAGCAGCCATAGTCCCTCCTCTAGTCCCTCCTCGAGCCCCCTCTCCAGTTTCCTCTCGAGTTCCCTCTCGAGTCCCCTCTCGAGCCCCTTCTCCAGTTTCCTTTTCAAGGTACCTCTCAAGTTCCCTCTCGAGTCCCCTCTCCAGTTCCATCTCCAGTCTCCACTCAAGTCCCTACTCAAGTGCCGTTGGAGGTTCCGCTGGGGGTCCTGCCAACCCTGTGTCCTGTCCCGTTGGGGGTTCCGCCGACTACTCTTCTGCCGGGGGTCCTGCCAACTCCATGTCATGTCCCGTTGGGGGTCCTGCCGACTGCTCTTCTGCCGGGGGTCCTGCCAACCTTATGTCCTGTGCCGTTGGAGGTCCCGCCGACTACTCTTCAGCCGGGGGTCCTGCCAATCCTATGTCCTGTGCCGTTGGAGGTCCCGCCGACTACTCTTCTGCCGGGGGTCCTGCCAACCCTATGTCCTGTGCCGTTGGAGGTCCCGCCGATTACGCTTCTGCCGGGGGTCCTGCCAACCCTATGTCCTGTGCCGTTGGAGGTTCCGCTGGGGGTCCTGCCAACTCCATATCCTGTTCCGTTGGAGGTCCCGCTGAGAGTCCTGCCAATCCCATGTCTTGTTCCGTTGGAGGTCCCGCCATCACCTATCTCTCCGGGGGTCCTGCCAACTCCTGGTCCTCTTCCGTGGGGGATCCTGCCGAAGCCTGTCCCGCCAGCGCCTTCCTGCCCGTCCTCCGGAGTTGTCCTGTCGCCGCCCTCGAGCCCGGCCCCCTGAGTGCCGCGGTCTTCGCCCTCGAGCCCGGCCCCCTGACTTTCTCGGCCGCGGGCCTCGCCCTCGGGCCTGGCCCCCTGACTCTTCCAGCCGCTGCCTTCGCCCTCATGCTCGGCCCCCTGAGAGCCGCAGTCTTCGCCCTCGAGCCCGGCCCCCTGAGAGCCGCGGTCTTCGCCCTCGAGCCCTGCCCCCTGAGAGCCGCGGTCTTCGCCCTCGAGCCCGGCCCCCTGAGAGCCGCGGTCTTCGCCTTCGAGCCCGGCCTCCTGAGTGCCGCGGCCTTCGCCCTCATGCTCGGCACCCTGAGTTCGCCCGCTGTGGTCTTCGCCACTCCATGGACTCTGCCTTGCCCCCGGGCCGTCCACCCGAGATCCCCTCTTTGAACTCTGCCTTGCCCCCGGGCCGTCCGTCCGAGACCCCATCCTTGGACTCTGCCTTGCCCCCAGGCCGTCCGCCCGGGTCTCCCTTCTCGGCTTCTGCCTTGCCCGGCCGTCCGCCCGAGATCCCTTCCTGGTCCTCTGGCGTGATCCTGGGTTGTCAGCGCAAACCCGTCCTCCTGACCCCCTCCTCCCACCCTGGTGGCCTGGTGATGCGTCCCTTCTCCGGACTCCCTCCACCCACCCTGCTAGAGTTTTTTGGACTGTTGTACTTTGTTAGGGACATCTGGGATCCGTCCCTTGAAGGGGGGGTACTGTCACGATCTGTCTTTATTGTATTTTGTCTTGTCTTCTTCTGTCTTTTGTTTTATTTTGAAAGGTCTTCACCTCCTGTTTTGCCTGTTTCTGTCTGCGTTGTGTCTTGTCTAGATCTGTCTTTGGTTTTATGTCTGCATTGTGTTTTGTCTTGTTTAGATCTGTCTGTGGTTGCCTGTCGTTAGTTTCCCTGGTGTGTCTAATTTACCCGATTGTGTTCACCTGGTGTCCCTGTGTTTTTTCCTCCCTCCTCACCTGTGTCTTGTTTGTATGATTAGTCTTGTGTGTATTTAAGTTCTGGTTTTTCTGTCTGTCTTTGTCGGTTCGTCTTGTGATATGGCTTGTTCCTCGGTGAGTGTTCTGTTTAGTCTTTATTTAATAGTATAGCCTTGAAATAAAGGAGTTTTTTGTCACTTTAATCTGCATTCGGGTCCTGCTTCCTACACACACCGTAACAAAAAAAAATACATTAAAAAAACTTCAGAGCACTGTCTCTATGTTTCTCTATCTAGACATCATAACCTAGTTACTCGAGATAATCCATAGACCTTGTTCAGGCTCTCCTGAGCGAGCTAATGTTACATCTCAGCCGAGGGTGACACCGATGATGAATCATTGAAATGAAATGTTTTGGTCCTTTGAGCACCACAAGCCGAGTTTCATCTAGTTCACCTTGATTTGAGAGAAGGCAGACATCCCTACGGCCAATATCTCCAACGCCTGGCAATTTACACCAAAACAATGAGTAATAAATAGTGCTTCAGATGAGGTCAATATGTACTGTATCTTTGATTATGGTTCAAACTGTGCCCTTTTTACTGTTTCACTTTTGTTTTAACATTAGTATAGACTTTAAATATCCAAGACCGAATGATCTTTCTAAAGGTGATAGTTGAGAGGGTTTTATTTATTAATTTAACCTTTATTTAGGAGAGTCTTGGCCAAGATAGGCAGCAGCATATTAGAGAACACACAATCAAATCAATAACAGAGAACATATATGGTTAATCAGGAATATCAGTCAGAAGAGTTATTTGCTTCTCGGTCACTAAGAAGCACTTAAGAACTGTTCAGACCAGCGCCAAAAGTTTCAGTTCATGTTGCAGCAGGTTTCAAGCAAATGGAGCAGCGTAACTCAAAGCCCTTTTCCTCAGCTCAGTGTGGACTACAGGGACAGTTATCCTCTGAGCAAAGCCCATACTTTTCTGACAGATGTAAATCTGCAATTAAGGTGGAAGAGCACCAAGAATAGCCTTATAAATAAGGGTGTGCCAATGGTTTTGTATGCGGGTGGTCAGAGCAAACCAAGGATACAAGCGGCAATGGTGCGTATTTTAAAATGTGTAATGAACCTCAGTGCCCCGCAGTAGACGGTATCCAAAGAGCCTATGTAGATATAAACAACATCACTGTAGTGTAACAGAAACAAAAATGTTAAACGAGAAACAGGAGTTTCAAGTCACACAGGGTACGTTGCACAGTGTTAAAATCAGTCTGGAGCTGATCAAGAGCCTGATTTGGGGTGGACACAGAGCAATATATTACTGTATCATCAGCTTAAATTGAAAAGTTCCATTTGATATGTTTCGATTAAGACTACTAATAAAGATAATGAATAATAATGGTCCTAAAACCAATCCCACAGGATGAGAGGAAAGGCTCGTTTTGAGGCGGCAAAGCCTAATCCTGATACCAGATGGTCTACAAACATCAGAGAGGACAGTCATGGAATATTGCACGTGTCCGCAGCATGTTTGCTTTATTTCCTCTGGACAACTGTAATGATGTGAGTCCTCTGATGTGTTCAGTGTGTTGCAGAGTGCAGGGTGGGGTTGACTGGATGACTGCTTCCACTTAAATCAAAGAAACAACAAAAAATAGGGAGGTTTCCCCTCGCAATTTCTTCCAGAGAATAGACCAACTAATGAGAAACAGAGAGGGAAAGTGCCTGAAAGAGGGATGACCGGAATTGAAAGAGAGGTTAAGGTTGGGGGAGATTGACTACAGAGCGATTAGGGAGAGACAATAATGAATGACTGCTAGTTATGAGAATATTAGCGAAGGTGTTTAATTATCCCCCAGTTGCAGATACAATTATGCCTTGTATTTGTTCTTAAAGACACATGCAAGGGCAAGTGCATGACGGCTGTCACTTAGGGTTTCAGTGGACAGACTGTGGTAAGTGCATGTGAGTGAACTGCTTTGGCAGCAACTGGTTAAGTGTAATATGTATAATAAGTTAAAAGCAGAAAGAAGATATGCAATACTGCAAAACTGAAGGGAATCAAGCCCTGAATGCTTAAAGAATATAACAGCAATGCAGTGTTTGAATTTTTGTTTTCTGGATAAAGTTGGTTAACAAAATGAAAGTTATTTTTAGTAAAGAAACGATAAGAAAAAAAACAGTTGTTACATCTACAAACAGCAGTGAATTCCAAGAAGCTTGTTGCGTTACATACATATCACATACACTTGAACACATAAGGCTTCACACTGCACTTACCCTACTTCCTCCCTCTCTGTGCATGCTGTGGCCCACGTTTATCCAGCTCAGCTCCACCAGTAGAGTAACTAAGCAGGAGATTCTGCCCAGAGTCCGTTTCATCTTCATCTTTATTCCTTGGCTCTGCTCACAGTCCCTGAGAAGCACTCTGCAGTATGGACTTGTCTCCTTTTCCTTCTGGCACAAAGCACTTAGAGCTGGCTGGATCTCTGACTCAGTTTCCCAGACCAGCTGAGTCTCTCAGACCACACACCCTCCGTCCGCTCAGTGCAGGCATGTGCAACACAAACTCTTGATCTTCCAGCTGCACAGTAAAGAGTGTGTGTGTGTGTGTGTGTGTGTGTGTGTGTGTGTGTGTGTGTGTGTGTGTGTGTGTGTGTGTGTGTGTGTGTGTGTGTGTGTGTGTGTGTGTGTGTGTGTGTGCATCCAAGCCAGACGTAACCTGTGACAGCAACCCAGACGCCCACGAGCCAAATGGAGGAGGTTTAAGAGGCTTTAAAACATGCACCTCTTACTGCAGAAGCTTTGATGCACAACCTGAGGTGTCCAGTTAAATAACGTAGCCACTACAATTCAGAAGCTGAACATTACCTCAGAAAAAGTCAAGATCTCTTGAGGACTTCCCAAAGGCACACTCTCTTATGTCAGAATGAATTGAAGGCCTGAACTATGATCCAAACTAATTCCTCTGTGTTTCTTCTCTATATTTCCTTCTGAAAAAAGACTGCTGATTTCAGTGGTTTCAATTTGTTAAACCTTTCCTGTCACTCCCCAGTTCTCCAAATACTACTGTGGTTGACCGTGTTAAAAGGCCCCGAGGTGCAAAACCACACAACTCCTTCTTCTAAGATGTGAGCTAATTCTGAAGAAGCTACGAGAAGCTAGGATGTCTGTCTTGGTGTATGCCTTTGTTTTTCCCACTGCTGCTGGTCCTGCAGCCTCAAAGCACGCCTTTTTATTTGCTTGTGTGTTCCCGCCTGTCATTTGTAATTGTCGATTGTCAAGTGATCAAGTCCCCTGGCCTGTTAAACCCATGTATCAGTGGCTTTTCCTCCGGAGTTGCCAAACCGCACACAGTCGAAGGGCAGTAACATGTGTTTTAAATGTGATCCAGACTTCTGTAACGTGTGAGGGGAAATCAGATGCCAGCACCACCCCTGTCTCACCGACACCCCACCCACTTGCCCATCTGACTGAGAATGTAATCTGCAAAGGAACATCTACATAACCCTTACAGGAGGGAATATTGGAACAATATTTATTATATGTACGCAAAAGAGGAACAGCTGCTTTTCTGTTGGCTACAAAGTCAAACATTTTTTTAAACTTTTGCAGCAAGACACATATTAATGTGGTACATAAATATGTCATCAAACATCAGATTAGTTTATGTAAAAACCTTCACACTTATACATAATAATATGTTAAATTATCTTCACAACAATATATAAAAGTATTGCATAACAGCTTTCAAACAGCAGTCGGAAAATTTAGTGAAGCTTAACGAGAGGGTGGGGAGCAGTTAGAAGCACATTTTCAATAAAATCTATATTTTACAAGGGAAGGGGGTTAAACTTCTACTGTGCAAACAATAGTCCATGAAGCCATTGGACATGTTGTAGTGGATGATGGAAAGTACTAAATGTCCTGTAAACACACACAGAAGAAAGATATATACCCACGGTAACAACACCTTAAATGAAATATCTTCACAAAAATATATCCATAGCAACAAACAGGTAAGGCTGCAGTGACAAGATTGCAATGGGATATGTTCAGAAAGCATCTCTGATCTTGGACCTCCAGTTTACGGCCCTCTCAAAGCCGTTTCTGCCAGTCTGGTAGTCTTTGATAGCCTGTGTGATCTCTTCTTCTGTGGTCATTACAAACGGACCTGAATGCCACACAAGACATATGAAAATATTACAGCTGCTTTGTTTGTCACTACCTAAACACATTCAAGCAACTCTTTTGTGCAGTGACATGTTGCCAACATGGAAGGAATAACGCAAATGGCTTACCGTGTTGTACCACAGGCTCTTTGATTGGTTCTCCAGCGATCAGCACAAAATGGGACACTTCTGAGCCCTGAGGAGGAAATAAGAAACAGTGCTATTATCTTTGTCTATGTGAGAAGTGGAATGACTTCCATTTGTCATTTCCCAGAGATCTGGAGCCCCACACGATCTGAAGAAGAATGTGTGACCTCACAAGAGGATTAAATAAAAAATAAATAAAAATGTCTTTTAAATTAAAAAAAACACAATATTTGTTTTATTCTGAAACACTATATATTTTCACATGCTGTGGAACTCTGTCCGGGGATAAGGAAAACACAGACACTCATCACCGAGGTCACAATATCAATCGATCCAGCAGAGCAATAGCCTATAGGCAAAACACAGAAGATCAACAAAATATATGACATAATGAACTTGCCAAAGTTGAAGTAGTTGGTCAACTTCATTCATTGTCTTTCCGTTTTACTGATTTTAATCGCTATACGCTGCTCTCTCTCGTCTCCTCTTCACCACAGGGTGAAAACTACACTTTTCGCGTCACACGTACTTACAGCCAATCAGCTCTGAATTATGAGATGACGTTTGGTGGGTATGCCAGCACAGTGCCCCTAGGTGATTATGTTTTTGCCGCACACATTGAATAGAAAAAAACTCTGAGTTTGCGCAGTGTAGTTTTTACAGCACCCATTCACTTAGACAGTGAGAGAGGGGCTAGATTGGGGCTTGACCCACGTTGCTCAACACGGCTCAATAGGCACACTGTAGACACTAATTAGAAGAACACAGACTAAAACAGCAATGTATAGACGAATCAGATGATTAAACATGGTCTTAAAATATATTTTAACATGTATTTTTGTTGCATTTATTTGCATTTTTTGGGAATTATTATTTGAATTACTTTCTGCTGACACTAGGTGGGGCTGAGCCTAATGAAGCTAAGATAGAAAAGGCAGGCAAGAGAAAACCGGGGAGACCAAAAATAAGCAAGAGGAGGCCATTAAGTAATTGACCAAACAAAAACCATCCGTAAAACCCTAAATATGATGAACAACAGACAATATTTCAGTTTACAAAGGTAAGCATTTTGGAAAGAAACGAGAAAATACTGTTAATCTCTCACCTTGTTTTGAACTTTGACGCAGTCCCCATCTGCAAACACTATGGTGTGATGAGGCTCCACCTTCTGCTGCTCCTCATCTGGGCCTTAAGACAAGAAAAGTTCAACGTTTTGTCCTTATTGTTCATTTTAAACATCTTTTACTGTAATTTGGCAGGACACAGGGTTTTTCAGTTTAAGTTTTTAAAAAAGGGATATTTCTCTACCATTTGCATTTAGACAGGAATGCTTTAGTTTTCAGTGTTTCAGCTTCATGATTCTTTAAAAGATACAATGATTTATTTTTTACTTTCCTTCATAATGACATGAATCATTATTAAGAAAGTGTAATTGTTCCACTTCATTTCTCAGGGCTGATACAACCCACATGACATAGAGCAGTGGTTCACAACCTTTTTTCCCAAGAGCCCCCCCAAATGACTCCTGTTGGAAGGGCCCCCCCCCCCCCACACACAATCAGGGGGGGGGGCAGGGGGGGCCGGGGGGCGCAACAGCGGTAATTAAAGTTTAAAAGTCTCAAAAATGCTACAACTACTGTCACAAACTGTATGAATGTGAAGTATTTTGTTAAAGGAGGATGAAAGCGTAATTAAGGAGCACTATTGGAGTGACTTTGATGGCTATTGGACTCAGGATTAATTGATTTGGATTCCTGCTGTATGAAGAAATTAAAGGATGGCGCAAGTGGAAACAATTCACAAAGGGATTCAACTGTTTAAAACACATTCTCAAAGTAAGCCGAATTTTGCCGATGTGTTTATGTGGATTCAAAAGTCGTAAATAATCTACAAAATGGAGGAGACCGATCTGATCGGAGCAACTGTGACAAATAATCCAACTGAAACCTGCATGGACAATGACTATGTTTTAAAAATGCGCTTATCCAGCATAGCCTGGTTTGGACACTTTACGGGCAGAAGAAACATTTTTATCAAAGAAAAAATTATACATTTTTGTATTTGTATGCCTTTAATACTAACTTGAATTTTTATTCAAATGAATTAATCAATTATTTTGTATATTGTATTGTAATGAAGAGACAAGGCTTTTGGTGACAATCATGTATTGAGTTACAATTATATGTGTAAAAAAAAAAGAATAAAAAAAAAAAAAAGTCTAAATATGATATTTGGCCTCAGATCATCTGAGGCCTGGCGCCCCCCCTGCGATCTTTGGCGTGCCACCCAGGTTGGGAACCACTGCCGTAGAGGATGTCAATATTTCAAAATTAGACCCTATGATCCCGCACTACATATTACTTTTAATTCCAACGCACTGTCAAGCTGGGATAATTCTATATGTTCAATCCTGAGTCATGTTGGGGAAAAACCCTGACAATCACCATGTCATTTATGAGAATTCATGAGTTTTGTGGCTTTTGAGCTGTTTTTTATGTCCTCAACAGTGGCGACTGGTCACAGCCCCACCTAGTGTCAGCAGAAAGTATTAAAAATAATGATTACAAAAAAATGCAAAAAATAAATTAAAAAATATATTAAATATATTTTAAGATCATGTTTAATAATCTGATTCGTCTCATTGCTGTTTTAGTATGTGTTCTTCTAATTAGTGTCTACAGTGTGTGCCTATTGAGCTGTTTAGAGCCATGTGGGACAAAACCCGATCCTGCCCCTCCCTCTACTGTCTAAGTCAATGGTGACTGTAAAAACTACACTGCGCATGCTCAGAATATTTTCCTATTTAATGTGTGTGGCAAAAAAATAATGACCATAGGGGCATAGTGCTGCCATCCCCACCATACGTCATCTCACATAATCCAGAGCTGATTGGCTGTAAGTACGTGTGCCGCGAAAAGTGTGGTGTGTGAAGAGGAGATGAGAGAGCTGCAGTGACGGGTCCTAAAACCCGGAAGTAAGCTGCGCATGGCTTCCCTCGACAAAAAAGCAATGAGATTTCTCCATAGAAAAGTTTCTACCCTACTTTTATAATTTTCGAATAATAAATCTATTGATTAGATTAGATTTATGATAGACTTTTGAAACTACAAGAACATAAGGAGGACTTTTACAAAAAAGTAATAGAGATTTTTGTCCAGAAGGATAGGCAAATGGACTTAATCTTCAAGTCAAGGTAAGACTGCAATTTTATTGAAAATGGG